GCAGATGCTGCCCGTCTTACTGAGGAGCTGCGTCAGGAGCAAGACCATGCCCAGCATGCGGAGAAGGCTCGCCACGCTGTGGAAGGTCAGCTTAAGGAACTGCAAGTACGTCTTGATGAGGCAGAAGCAAATGTCCTGAAGGGAGGCAAGAAGCTTATTGCCAAGCTGGAGCAGCGCGTCCGCGAACTTGAGGGAGAGCTTGAAGGAGAACAACGCCGCAGCAGTGAGGCACAGAAGAACTACCGCAAGTGCGACCGCCAGGTCAGAGATTTGATGATGCAAATCGAGGATTCTAAGAAGAACCAGGCGCACTTCCAGGACATGATCGAGAAGCTTAACGGCAAAACCAAGCTGTACAAGCGCCAGATTGAGGAAGCTGAAGAGGTCGCCAACATGAACCTGGCCAAGTACCGTAAGACACAGGCTGAGCTTGAGGATACCCAGGTTGCACTAGAAGAGACGGAGGCAGCGGCTACTAAGATGCGAGCCATGGCCCGCGCTGGAGGAGTAACTTCCCGCTCTGCTGTAAGTAATTATAATAAAAGCAATTTAATTGTTTTACTGGGTGTGAAATTATTACAAATATGATGATACATCGTCAAAAATATTTTACTTTCTTCCATTAAATATTCGTGCCGCTTATACTATTTATTTTTCTGTTACAGAGGTCTTCAACCCACGCCAGCTCATTTGAGTAGACTCCGTAACATGTAATTATATTCACCTTCACAGTTAGGCGGAAAGTTAAATTGAGAAACTATTATAGTGCCCTAGAAATTTTTACACATTAGCATGGTTTTAGCCCAACCTATATTTGAGTATACTTCATGTTTTATTTTTGAAATAAAATTAGTTATGCTACATCTCCGCGGTGATATTACTGAATGTATTTTGAATTTATTGTTTTTTTAGGAATTAACTCGCTGCCAATGAAGCTATCCATCAAGGCGAATTGATGTGCTTGGCGCCTCCAATAGGCTTTAGTCGCTTGACGGTTACTGGCACAACTGCTCGTGCCGGAGTCGTCTACGAAGATATTGTTTTATAGCTGCCAACAATTACTGCCCACTTCCCTGCAACAAGTTCAACGCAGTCATTTGTCTATAATATTGTTGTAGCTATGCATTTCTACATGCTAGCATGATCTCATTCATTTGTAGTGACACAATAGAAAGATATTTTTAGACAATTTTAGATTAGGAGTGATCTCGAGAGAGATAAATCTTCAAGAGTGTTTGCGCAGTGAGATTTTTCTAATAAACGAAAATACATGTTTTTTGTGAATGGTTATCGTGCAGCAGCACTTGAGGATCAATATTTTCATAGAAAGACTCTCAATTTACCACGGGGCATTTGAAAAGCATTATGTGTGCTCTTTGGTCAATGCTTGTATAATTCCTTAACGTAGCTGCTACTAGAGTTAGAAGTAAGGTGCATTAACAGAATTAGCCTGCATGATATAACAAATGTTACAAGATGAGAACGTTTAAATTGCGATATTGATTTCGATTCTGTTTTGGGATACAAAATAAAAGCTATATATGCAAAATCACTACATTTTTGTTGATGCATTAACATTATTGTTTTTTTGCTTGTTTTCCATGGCAATTGTCTTCGTGTTACACATTCCCACACTGTTGTTCAAAAATCGTATCCAATTCATAAACATACCCCCGAGGCGGGCATAGGCAAATAATTAACGGATTTGAGAACGTCAAGTTGCAGGCATATGAGCTTTAACAAAGGTGTGATGGGATTCCACATTCGTCAAAGCTTAGACGAATCCCATACTCTTATCGATTCCCTCGGCGGCTGTAACAGACATGTTGATACTAGTACATTGCACATTGCACATACATGCATTTGATTCACTGGAATTTGACCTGCCCGGTAAAGTTCTTCCTTCTAGTATTCAGTAATTCTAGCATGGTCACTGCAAGTAGTCCCAACTATGTTAGCAAACGTTATACATTCAAGGCCAGGTGAAGTTACGGTGACCGCCTAGGCGTGCCGAGATATGAATTGAGAGATTGGATGTATGATTCAGCACTGCGAGAGTGATGAGAAGTTGAGAGAATTGGATGTAGATTCAGCACTAGCGCGTAAAGGACATTAATAGCCACATTTCTTATGTCAAATCGTCAAATTGTCACATAATGTGTTCATTGATCCGCTGTTTCCAAATTTGCTTTTTTAAATTGCCGAGAGGGACTTTTAAACGATATATACGAGATCAAATAACACAGGCCAACACACACGAGTTATAGAGCTCTTCAGCGTGGGTGTGTACCCTGGACGTAAAAACATACAAACGCAGTCCCGGGTAATACCCTGAACCATGGCAGAAATACTCGGCTACAGCTACTTAGCAACGTTGACTACAGTGTGAGCTGCATCTGCAATGTATTGGTTTCCCACGCCGTGTGTAAACTGCGAATGAATACACTGAGCACGCATCGATGTACGTTATACTATAAGAGGTTTAGTATGGCTGAACCGTTCAAGAGCAAACTCAACAAGCTGCTATCGAATGTAGTGATATCGTGGTCGAGACAAGAGGCGCAAGGGTCCGAAATGAAACAGACACGAATTGAATTGCGGTGTATAGTTATAATTTTAAATGCATTGCTGATAATAATGCATATTCTAACCAACAGGTATTGGAAAATAATAGTATATGTATGTTTTATTTACCATTGCACGTCATGAGTCTGGAAATATTAGTGGTTTAGATATTTTTATTAAACACCTAAAATTTATTCGATAATTATAGTAAAAAGGCCCAAAACAACGAGAGATGGCGGGATCTTTTGCGTAGTATACTACGCAGCTTGGTTCGACTTGGCCTGCCAAGAATATTAAATTAAATTAGTAATATAAACTATATTTAACTAGTTGACGATTGAAAAATGTTGATAAAGATAGCTGAGAATTTCGAAAATACCCATCTATAGCCAACAATAAAAAACCACGTTTTGCAGAAAAATTTCAAAAAGTGAGTCTTGAATACGTGCTGCGTACGAATACAATTTTGCGGGCATTGGATTACAGGAGGGGTTGCCCATGGGATGTGTCCATGCTCGTGAGGCCGAGCTCCTTATGTGCACTCGTGCGTGCGT